CTCCTGCAGGCAGCATACAGCTGGATTTTGCTGGATTTTTAAAAATCCATTCAGCTACTCTGTGTATTTTGATTGAGGAGTTTAACTTATTTACATTTGAAGTAATTATTGGTAGGAAAGGACTTACTATTGCTTCTTTGTTAGTTGTTTTCTGTGAGTCTTGTAGTTCTTTTGTTCATCTTCTCCTCTCTTGCTAGCTCCACTTGTGTTCCATTGATTTTTTTTTTTATTCATATGCTTTCATTCCTTTTTCTTTTGTGTATCTTCTATAGATATTTTCTTGGTGGTTACCACAAGGCTTCCATAAAACAACTTATAGTTCTCATATTTGGGAAGTTTCCACCATTATTTCTTTGAATAAACTTTCTGTCCTTTTCCCTCTCTCTCTTCTCCTCCCGGGAGTCCCAAATGCATACACTGGTCCAGCAGACAGCGAGCCCAAAAGTTCCTTCAGCTTTCCTCACCGCGTCTCCCTTTTATTTCCTTTCCACTCCTCTGACCGGATATACCTGTCTTCGTGTTCACTGAACACAGTGAACACAGATTGATCTACTCTGCTGCTTGATCTGATGCTGAAACCATTTATGAGATTTTCATTTCAGTTACCGTATTCTTCAGCTCCATAATTTCTAATTTTGAAAAAAATGTTTTGTTTGTGTTGTGTTGAAATTCTCACTTTGTTTATGTATTTTTCTTCTGACCTCATGAGGCACCTTTATAATTTCTACTTTGAATTCTCTGTCATAAAAATTATGTATCTCCACTTTACTGGGGCCACCCTCTAGAGATTTATATTGCACCTTTGTTTGGGATATGTTTCCCTATTTTTTCATTTCCCTTGATTCTCTGTGTTGGTGTTTATACATCAAGAAAAATAGCCACTTCACCCAGCCTTGGTGGACTAGCTTTGTATCAAAGAGTCCCTCCCCAATCAGCCCATTCAGAGATTCTGGAGACCTCTTAAACCACTGTGCTAGACCAAACCACTGCCAGGGAGATAGGCCTCAAAGAGAAACCAAACCTGCCAGCACCCTGGTCTTAAACTTCCAGCCTCCAGAACTGTGAGAAATACATGTCTGCTGTTCAAGCCCCACAAGCCTGTGGAAATCTGTTATGGCAGCCAAGAAGACTAAGAGAGAATCCTCAGCTACTATGTAAACTCCAGTTAGGGTCACATGCCCTTCTTGCAATTTAATGAGAGATAAATTTAGCCTGAAACACATCAGTTGAAAAAATTAGCTATGAATATAGATGAAATTAAGAACATGCTGTGAAAAGTAATTTTGTTTTTACAAAGGTTCCATCAAACTCAGCAAACATGACATTATACACCCTTTAATGTGGTTAAGTATGAGGAATATGATGTCATCTATAAAGTACCAAAATTGTTTAATCCAAATCTAATGTAGACCTACCTTATACTGTACAGGAAATACAGATGCTAGGAGAAGTTAAATGATACTATGAGTAAACAATCAGTGAAAGCCAAAGCATGGACCATTCAACAAGGTGACCACACTGAATTCATTATAAAGGCAAAATTACAAAAAATTTTCAAACAGAGGAAACTATTCTAAAGATGTAATAACCAATGACTACATAAAAACAAAACTGATCCTCGTCCCAAACATCAAAGAAACGAAAAATAAAGTCTGTAAAATACATTCTTGTGACAACTAGGAAAACATAAAGACAGTCTGAATATCAGATGATATCACTGCTAATACTTAGGTGTGATAATATAGAATGACCTTAATCTTAGGACGTGCATGGTAATATGCCATGATGTCTACAATTTACGTTCAGAAGCAGTACTACGAACAATGTGTGTGTGTGTGTGCGTGCGTGTGTGCGTGCGTGTGCAGAGGGAGAGCACAAACACGGCGAATGTTGTTAGCTGCTGAATTTAAGGAGGGCATATTCTTCCAAGTTTTTTGTAATGTCTGAATACGGGCACAACAAAAAGTTGGGGAACATTACCCTAAATGTCATCTCCAAACTATCTAGGTCAGAATTTGAAGGGGGAGAATCCATGGATGGAACCCTATGAGCTTCCAAAATTCTACGCAAAGTGATACATAGAATCATGAATGTGCGTGAGCGCAGTTTCCCAGAGACAGGGTTCCCATGTCTATTTGATATTCAGGGCTGCCCGCAACTTCTCCAGAGTACATAAATCACCATTCCAGAGAAAAGAAAATACATGACAAATAGGAGAAGAGCTGGATTTCAAACTCACTGCTTATAACACAGCACTGTTTATATTTTAAAAAGTTAACGGGAAGCAGCCTAAAACCCCTTTACGATCAGAGCTCCCTCGGATGTGAGGAGGCAGTTCCGTCCTGAGGCTGTAGAGCTCGACACTAGGGGCAGGAGGTCGTCCAGGGAGCTGGAAGAGACACAGTGGCCTCTTGCAGTCCGCACCCTGAGACCCCAGAGGCACCACTTTAAACACACATCATAAACTTCAGGCTGTCTTTATCCTCTCTTTTCATTAGTAATTTCCAAACAAGAAACAGAAATGAAAGAGTAACAGAGATGATAAAAGGTGTATCACTTTTCCCTGTCTCAGTTCAAACATGACCATCAAGGGTGTCCCGCACCTCTCTTCTCCATGTTCAGTTCTTCCAAGAATCTTCACTGATTCAGTATCTTTTTAAAAAAAACACAGTTGTTCCTTGAACAGCTCTCACCTATAAGCCCGAAGTACAGAACCAGGGGAGGCAGCCACTGGGACAGAGGCCGTGGGCCAGCAGCCCAACCACCCGCCAAAGCCACTCTCGGCTTGCCAATGGGTCTAAGGAGCCCAGTCCCACAGCCTGGCCTGGAACCTGCAGCCCCTCGCCCCCGCCACGCCCACGACACCACGCTGCCTGCTACCTCAGCACCTGTCCCAGGACGCAGCACAGGATGCTAGGGCCCGTCTCCTCAACAAGTCCCTTGTACCTCAGAGGCAGGCGCCGAGTCTTATTCGCCGCGTGGCCAGCACCTCTGGGTCTGATGCCCGTCCCACTTCAGGTATGCTGTCTGCTGGGGACACTGGCTGGCACACCTCATCGGGGGGCTGTGACAGGAGCCTCACAGGTTCTGTCCCACGAGGCGAGGGCAGGAGGTGAAGCCAAGACTTCCCCTTACCTGTTGCTAAGGGACCTCACTTCTGTTCCCTCTTTTGATCATTACGAAAGTCCTGGGAATGGGGCAGGAGATACTTCACAGCCCTCCCCACAGAGGAGGAAACTCAGCGGGGGGGGGGAGGGGGGTTCAGTGCCCACGCAAGGTTGCACGGCGGAACGTGGCACGTTTCCCTCTCAGGAGACTCGAGGGACAGTAAAAACATACAAAACTAAACGTCATAACACGTAAATCCAAATGCTTCCTATGGATACGTGCATGGGTGACTGGATAATTAGAAGCCTCTGGGGAAGGGAAGAAATGTGGAACTGAGCATTTCCTTCTATAATTCTCTCAACACTAAGCTGGAGGAAAAAGAAAAGTAATTGGGCACTTTACTTTAAAAAATGGAAACATGAAACATACAGTGACCAGGAAAAAGCAATTTAGTTAAAAAAAAAAGTGGCTCAAAATAAAAGTTATGGTTCCATACTATACTACTTGCTTTTACCAATATTATACTGTAACTTCTGGTATAAAATTTTTGGCATTTTAAGGATTCTGCCGTACTTGGAAAATATAAGTTTTATATTTATAAAGGTTTTAACTAGTAAAAACTATATTTAAAATCATTTATCAATATGTAATTTTATTAGGTTATGGTATATTGTTTTATCATGAAGGTAGAACATGCACTAAAGGAAATTCTTTGAAGTTATATTTTAAAAAAATGACCCAGAGGCTCATTACCATAAAATCACAATATGCACAAGGCATTTGGACTAACTTCCTTCCAGTTTCTCTTGGGTGTTTATGATGTGGTAATCATACCACATGTAATGCCTCGAATTATGACTTTTCCCCTTAACATTACATTGTAAGAGCTCTTCCAGATTATTACACAATCTTTGTAACCACAATCTACAATTTACGGAACTACTAAGTAATATTTTAAGTGTTTACTTAACCCTCCTATTTTTAGACAAGTAGGCTGTTGCCAAATTTTTACTATCATGAAGAACTGTTATTTTCTTCCTTTTGTTTCTTTTAGATAAATTCTTCAAGTATATTACTAGGTCAAAGTAGATGATAATTTTTAAGGTTTCTGACATACTCTTATACCAATATGCTTCCTCAAATGTCTAAAATATACATTGTTACTAGTAATGCATGAGAATACTTACTTGCTTATACTCTTTTTCTAAAAGATCTTATTTATTTATTTTTAGAGAGAGGGGAAGGGAGGGAGAAAGGGAGAGAAACATCAATGTGTGGTTCCGTCTTGTGTGCCCCCTACCACGGACCTGGCCTGCAACCCAGGCATGTGCCCTGACTGGGAATCCTATCTGCGACCCTTTGGTTCGCAGGCCTGCACTCAATCCATTGAACCACACCAGCAAGGGCTGATTTTACTCTTATCAATGATCAGTAAAACATCTGTATCAGTTTATTACCACTTTTCCTAATAAGTGAAAATATATCCTCACTATGATATTTTGCATTTTTCCCTGAGAATACTTTTCCACCATATAATTACTGACAAGTTGAACTTCTTTTGTAAATTATTATTTATGTCCATTATACATTTATCGATTGGTTATGTATATAGATTTAAAACTAAATTTGTCTCAACATCCTGTAATTACAACGTTAACCTAATGTTTAACATGTTGGTGGGAAATATTATTTCTCCAATCTATGGTTCATTTCAAATTTCTGTTTTAATATTTACCTGGACACTGTCATTGCTCTTTCCCCTTTGTGATTCTTTAAAAGGATTTGGAGCCGACTCCCCTACCCCCATCCCTTCTTCCCTGTGACAACACTTAACTCATTCCTCCTCAGCTCTGTCGTTTTAACACAACACACCCATACTCCAGACGTATTACCTGTTGGTCATCAGGAGTCCATATGCCACATGTGATCTGACTTTCCAAGTTGATCTCAGATGACCAGTGTCTCTGTCCACTGACAGAGCCGACCAGGACAAATCCATCTCGATATGAAATAAGTGCCTGAGTCCCATCGTGGCTCCAGGTGAAATCACTCACCTTTGAGAAACACACAGACAAAAGTGGTCAATTTGGAATCTTAAAGGGAAAGTACTTTTATCAAACACTAGATATAATTATTAACTTAGCCTTTGGCTAAGATCAAGTTGGTTTTAAAGATAATAATAATTATATATGTAATATTATATAACGTAAAAGACACCACTTGGAAAGCACATGTCAGTGTGGTGCTAAGTGCTGCACACAAGTTAATAAACCTCATAAGACCATCCGTGGGAGGTATTGTCATCATGCCCATTTTACAGAGAAAATAAGCACGCAGGATAACCCAAATCAGCAAGACCTTTTGCAGAGAGATGGTTTCATTCCTCTTCAGTGAATACCTAGAGGTAGAATTAATTGCTGGTTGGTATGTTTAGCTCATGTTGAACTGCATAAGAAACCACCAAACTGTTTTTCAAAGTGGTTACACCATTTCACACCCCCAACAGCAGTACATTTGAGTACCAGCAGTACCAACACTTGGTGGTGTTGGTCTTTTGGTTTAGCTATCCTAGTAGCTGTGTAGTGGTATGCTGTGTTTTAATATGCATTTTGACAATGACTAGTATGTTGAGCATGATTTCATGTGCTTAGTGATCATTTGTACATCATCATTTGGACATGTCTATTCAAATTCCTTCTCATATACATATATTTCTATACATGTATTCATATCACCTATATATATACGAGGTCTGTCTGGAAAAAGTCCAGTCATTGCTAACATAATGAGAACCGTTTGTGTGACATTGATGTAACCTGGCAGCCAAGGAGAGTGGACTGGAATGCACATGTGTAAACAGTGAAGACTTTGCTGCACTAGTCAGTAGGCAGTAGACACCACTGAGTGAGCATGTGTACTGTGTGGTCGTCACATTCAAAATGACTGAATGAGCAGAGCAATGAATCTGCATCAATTTGCATTAAGTTTAAACATTCCTCAATGGAAACTATTCGGATGATTCAGAAGGCCGCAGCTATGGACAACTGGTGGTTGGCAGCTTCATCGTGACAACACATCTGCTCACGCATCACGTCTCATGCAGACGTTTTTTGGCGGAACATCAAATCACCCAGGTGACTCAGCCCCTCTACAGCCCAGATTTGGTGCCCTGAGGCTTCTGGCTTTTTCCAAAACTAAAATCACCTTTGAAAGGGAAGAGACTTCAGACCATCAATGACATTCAGGAAAATATGGCAGGGCAGCTGATGGAGACTGGGAGAACTGTGTGAGGTGCCACGGTGCCTACTTTGAAGGGGATTGAGGTGTCACTGTCTTACGTACAATGTTTCTTATATCTTGTATCTTTTTCAAAAACTGTCTGCATTTTTCATATTACGTGGGTGGACACGTTCTGGACAGACCTCATGCGTCAAGCAGTGGCCTTCTCTGCTGTGAGAAGTCTCACCCAGCCCTCGGTCACAAACGCCTGCTGCTGCAGACCGTCCCTCCCACTCCGCGCTTTGCCTGTGCATTTTCTCAGTCGCATCTTTCAAAGAGTGAAAGTTTTAAATTTGATAAAGTTCAACATCAATTTTTTTCATCCTTCATTCTTTTTGTGTCCAATCTGAGGAACTTTTACCTAATCTAGGGTTGCAAATGCAGTTTCTAGAAGTTTCACTTTTACATTTATATCTATAACTCCCTTAGAGTTAATTTTTGTGAAGGATATGAGGTAAGAATTAAGGTACTTTTTAAAAACAATACAGATATTCAGTTGTTTTAACATATTTGTCAAAGACTTCCTTCCCACTGTTGAACTACCCAGGCATTTTAAAAGTTACCTTGGACTCTACCTTGTCACTTACTTTTCCTATAGTCATGCCCAACTCCTCATTCACAAAATTGTTTAGGTTTTCTCTTTTGTAATCAGTCTTGACAGCAGTTTGTCTATTTTGTTAATTTGTTTCCAAAGATCAAATTTTGTATTTGTTGATCTCCTCTACTGTATCATTTTCTTTCTATTGTATTAATTTCCACTTAAAAATTTATTTTCCTATTTTCATTAGATTTCCTGTTGTTCATTTGGTAACTTTGTAAGGAAGGTACATACTTATCTGGCTGATGATCCTTACATTATAGAATAGTTTTACTTCTTTCTAATATAAATAACTGAAGATGTATATTTGTCGCATATCACTACTTAAATCCTGTCTCACAAATTTTATATGTGATTTCATCATCACTCAGATCTAGGATTTTATAAATTTCTGTTAAATTTATTATTTAACCCTTGAGTTATTTAACAATACATTTTAAAGTAACCAAATATAAGAAAATTTCTTAAATTTATCTTTTTGTTATTAACTTCTAACCAAGCTGCATTGTGCCCAGAAATCATGGTCTACAATCATGATATCTACCAAGTGAATTCTCTTGAGGTTTTACTTATGCCCTAAAACAGGGGCTGGCAAACTATGGCCAGTGGGCCAACGCGGTCCTGCCACCCATTTTTGTATAACCTACAAACTAAGAATGGTTTAAAATGGCTGAGAAAAAGACAAATAGAAGAATGATATTTTGTTATATGTGAAATTATATAGCAAACTCAAACTTTAGGATCCATAAATGAAGTTTTAAATTTTATTAATAAAAGTATTCTGGTCTCTTCAACAAATGGTGTTGGGAGGTCTGGACAGCTACACGCAAAAAAATGAAACTTGATCACCACCTTACACCATACACAAAATAAATTCAAGGTGCATAAAAGACTTAAATACAAATCATGACACCATAAAAGTCCCAGAGGAAAATATGGGCAGGAAAGTTTCAGACATTACACGTAGCAACAGCTTCACTGATATGTCCCCTAAAGCAAGGGACATAAAGGAAAGAATAAACAAATGGGACCTCATCAACTTAAAAAGCTTCTGCATGGCTAAAGAAAACAGAATTAAAATGAAAAGAGAACCAACTATATGGGAAAACATGTTTGCCAATGATACCTCAGACAAGGATTTCATCTCCAAAATATATAAAGAACTCACAGAACTCCACTCCAGGAAGACAAAAAACCCAACTGAAAAAATGGGCAAAAGACCTGAACAGATACTTCTCCAAGGAGGACACACAGAGGGCCCAGAGACATATGAAAAGATGCTCAGCATCACTACCCATCAGGCAGATGCAAATTAAAACCACAATGAGATACTACTTCACACCGGTCAGAATGACCATCATAAACACATCAACAAACAACAAGTGTTGGAGACGATGTGGAGAAAAGGGAATCTTTTTCTCCCTTTTCTCCCACAACAGTAGTTGGTGGGAATGCAAACTGATGCAGCCACTGTGGAAAACAGCATGGAATTTCCTTAGAAAACTAAAAATGGATCTGCCTTTTGACCCAGCAATTCCACTGCTGGTATTATACCCTAAGAACCCTGAAACACCAATTCAAAAGAACCCGTGCACCCCAATGTTCATAGCAGCACAATTTACAAAGCCAAGTGCTGGAAGCAACCTAAGTGCCCATCAGTAAATGAGTGGATCAAAAAACTATGGTGCATTTACACAATGGAATACTACACAGTAGAGAGAAAGAAGGAGCTCCTACCCTTTGCCACAGCATGGATGGAACTGGAGAGCATTATGCTAAGTGCAATTAGCCAGGTGGTGAGGGACAAATACCATATGATCTCTCCTTTAACTGGAACTTAATCAACAAAAGAAAAAAACTGGCAAAACAGAACCAGAGACACTGAAATTAAGAACAATCTGACAGTGACCAGAGGGGAGGGGGGAGGGAATAATGGGGGGAAGGGTTTTCAGGAACTACTATAAGGGACACACGGACAAAACCAAGGGGCAGGGGTGGAAGCAAGGGAGGGAGGTGGGATTGGCTGGGGTGGAGGAGAGTGATAGGAGGAAAATGCAGACAGTAACTGAACAACAATAAGATAATTTAAATTAAAAAAGTATTCTGGAAATCATTTTCTTTCCTGTTATACAGTATTTACATAATAGCCTCAATTTTAGCTCCTAGGTTCACAAAGCCTTAAATATTTACTCTCTGGTCCTGGCTGGTGAGGCTCCATGGACTGACCGCAGGCCTGCAAACCTACAGGTCGCCAGTTTGATTCCCGGTCAGGGTACATGCCTGGGTTGTGGGCCAGGTCCTCAGTCTGGCGTGTGTGAGAGGAACAGGTCTTTGTTTCTCTCACACATCCATGTTTCTTCTGCCCCGTTCCTCCTCTCTAAAAGTAAATAAATAGACTTCTCGCCAAGATGGGGGTGTGGGCTGCCTCCTTGCACAACCAAAAAAAGGACAACAAATTAAAAAAACAAAAACCAAAAAACAAAAAAACAGATCTGCCAGAAAATAGAACTGTATGGAAGTCCCACAACCAAGGAATTAAAGAGAAACATTCATCCGGAATGTCAGGAGGGGCAGACAGGCAGCCAGGGTGGAGAGGACAGCGGCAAGGCAGCAGCTAGAGGACTGGGTGGGCAAGGTGGCAGCTGGCAGTCTCACATTTCCATGCAGACAAGCCAGGAGGAACAAGTGGGCAGTGAGATAGACTGAGCAACCTAGGGTCCCAGCACGGGAAAATAAAGCCTCAAAACCTCTGTCTGTAAAAATCTGTGGGGGTTGTGGCAGCAAGAGAAACTCCTGCTAGCCTCTCCTAGCCTCACAGGAGAGCTTGTTGGAGAGACCCACAGGGTTCTGGAATGTACACAAGCCCCCCCTCCCCACCTGGGAATTAGCACCACAGGGCCCAGTTTGCTTGTGGGTAGTGGGGGAAGTGACTGAAAGCCAGCCGTAGGCCAGCAAGTGGCATTGTTCCCTCTCTGACCCCTCCCCCACATACAGTGCCACAACAGAGCGATGTGAGTTTCCCTGCCCTGGTGAACACCTAAGGTCCCTCCCCCTACGATGTAACAGATGTGCCAAGATAAAGAAATATTGCCCAAATGCAAGAACAGATCAATGCTCCAAAAATAGAACTAAGTGATAAAGAGGTAGCCAACATATCAGTTGCACAGTTCAAAACAC